CCCCAGGAGTGGGGAGGGAATGGGGATTTTGCAGTATCCTTCCCTAGGAGTGGGGAGGAAATGGGGATTTTGCAGTATCCTTCCCCCTGCCACGCCCACAAAGCCACATCCACGGAACAAGTAGTAAAAATTTTTGAATCCCACCACTGATTTCTACGATATGAGTGATCAGTATTACTGAACCTTTGGTGGCAAATTTGTGAGATCAGAAGAAGAGGGAGTAGAACTTAAAAACTGAAATGCAGCCGGATCGTCCTCAGGTCTGGAAATAACACAACATGCCATCAACTAGATTTAAGCTAAATGTTCGTGTTTCTTGCTGCACGCTGCCCAGATACAACTCCCCCCTTTTTTCACTTTCAATCAGTTTCTGCTAAAAGAGGTACCACAATTGAGAGCTCATAAACTCTGGCCCTCTGTTTCTGCAAAATTAATTGTAATTGCAAAGACCAATGGATTCACCACTTGCTATTCTTACCTTTTTTTAAAACACACACAGACACACACACACACACACACACAGACCCTGAAATGAATATTTTTCCCTCCACTGTAACTGATCATTTTAATTTCCCCAGCTTTGTCTGTAATAAAAATTGATGTTAAAGGATGCCTGAGGCAGTGTAATGAGAAAATGAAATTAGTTTTTCAGTTGGCTGATCAAAAGCATTTTATGTGTGATAATAAACAGTTTATTTTACTCTTTTTTTGCCGGTGACATAATAAATGACAAAATGTTTCCCCGAAATACATATTGTCCATTTTGGCGAAAAGAAATAAAATACTGATGATGTGTTTGGATTTGGGAAGAGTTTTTAATATTTTCACAATGGGAAAAAAGAAGAACAAGAAAACGACTTAAACCGTTCCAGAATTATTCTCCGTCCTCTTCAAATGCATTTGTACTCATGCCTATTTCTCTTTCTGCTATAATTTTATTTTGTTTTAAGGTTCTTTTCAAGCTGCTTACAATTCAGTCTCTTAACACAACCAACAGGATGTTTTACATTTAGAATATTCATCAAGATGGATTTGATTCCTATTGCTTCTGATCCAGGAGCAGCAAAATTAGCTTGTAGGTCTAATATTATCATGTAAGATAATATTAGAAAAACAAATATAATTGGGGGGAAAAATGGTGATACACTTCATGCTTCTACAGATGTGTGCATTTTTTTTAATACAAGCAGCATTTCAATGGTGCATTAAGTTCTCCACATACACAAATGGATTGACATTGTAATTAAAACTGTGTTGTTACATAGTTAAAGGTTCTCAGAAGGAAGATGGAACTTCTCCTAATTCCTTGGCCTGGAGTGGATAAACTTTAGACCTCTAAATGTTACTGATGGTCATTCTTAACATCNTACCTATATATCATCTTCTCCTTTTTTGTAATTTGATTACTTTTCAAGCCCGTCAAGCCAAAACTGCACTCAGAAAGAGACCGTTTTCATCTTAATTGCTCTTTATTTACAAAAGAGCAAACATGGGCTGCAGTCAAAGATTACATTTGATGTGAAGACATGGCATATTATTTCTTCCTAATCGCTACAGCAGATTTCAACGAAGCCATGTTGGCTATGAATATGTTTCTGAGATTTAATCGTGTACGGGATATTGGATTTTTAGAAATCATTTTATTTTTTTCTTTCTTTCTCAGTATCTTGGCTTAGCTATAGACATATTTTTCTTTTAAGAGAGGGCAGAAAGACGCTGCTTATGTATATGTTTATTTCCTCACTCAAATCATTTTTACTGGCCTTCTTGCATTTCTAAAATGCCCAGAGTGGTTTTCAACATAACAAATATACCTTAATTAAAAGTTAAAAACAGCAATACGGTGAAAGCGAACCCACATCAGAGAAAAGAAAAATAAAGCGATTCAGATGAAAACATGAGGATAATAATGCTTGTCCATAGATAATGTTGTATAGAATGATACATTAAACAAACCAGATAAATATTGCAACTGAAATGTTTTTTTTAAAATAATGGGGATGATAGAATAACATTAATATCAGTTGGCTATTATGAACCGAGCTCCATTTCTGGTGAAGGTAATATGAAGGTGAGGTAATATGTAAAGGTAAAGGTTCCCCTCACACATATGTGCTAGTCATTCCCGACTCTAGGGGGCGGTGCTCATCTCCGTTTTCAAAGCCGAAGAGCCAGCTCTGTCATGTGGCTGGCATGACTCAATGCCAAAGGTGCACGGAACACTGTTACCTTCCCACCAAAGGTGGTACCTATTTTTCTACTTGCATTTTTTACATGCTTTCGAACTGCTAGGTTGGCAGAAGCTGGGACAAGTCACGGGAGCTCACTCCATTATGTGGTACTAGGGATTCGAACTGCCAAACTGTCAACCTTTCTGATCAACAAGCTCAGCGTCTTAGCCACTGAGCCACCGCATCCCCTGAGGTAATATGAGGTCATAAGAATTTATGTTGAGTTTAATGCCCTTCAATTTTATTCTGGGTTATCTATGAACAAGAATCTGATCTACTAGCAGTCAAGGCAGAGGATAAGAGGCAATGGATATCAAGGGGAGGCTGGACATTTGTGGGAACATAGTGATTCCAAGCTGATGACATATTTGACTCCACCCTCGCCGTCTCCTGCAGTCTCCAAGTTGAGATAAGGGGATTCGGTGAGATAACACAATAAATTGAGTTCCTAGGGGCGGGGGGTAGGGGAAGGGATCTTCACAAGCTCCTTATCCCCTGTACTGAAATGTATTGAGAACACTGAAGATGAAAGTGGGGGAAAGAGTTGTAAAGAATCTCAAGAGCGAAAATGCAAATTTCCGCCGTCCCCACAATCTTAAAAGGCCTGTCTTGTTTACCCTGATCGGCTGTTACCGTGTTCATAATTTCCTGCTCCGTCATCGATCATTGTCAATTTTGAAAAAGTACCATACTTAGGGTCATTTATCCAGGCCCAGTGGAGTTTAAAATTATGCGGCTTCAGTTAAATATATATGAATAAAGGCTGTCATTTCTGATTAATAGTTGGAGACTTGAGGGTGTGTATTTGGGCACGTGCAATAGACTCATCTTTCCAGCAAGTCGTGGGGTTTTTTTTGAGGGGGGGGGATTGTTGTCTCTTATTTTGAATTCCTTCAAGAATTCCAGAGGGGTTTTCTGCCCTCTCTTAATTCTCTCAGGATAGCAGTGAATTAAAAACCAGAAATGCCCTCAGTGCCCTAATTTATTGACAGTGCAATATCTGTCGGAGGAGAGCCTTCTCGGTGGCAGCTCCGACCCTATGGAACGATCTTCCCGTGGAGATTTGCACCCTCACCACCCTTCAGACCTTCCGCACAGCCCTCAAAATCTGGCTATCCCGNCAGCAAGCCACTCCCACCAGGTCACATGGCCGACAAGCCACTCCCACAAAGAAGGCCACACCCACAGAGTAGGTTCAAAACTTTTTTGAAACCCACCACTGGTGTAAATGCATTCCCATGAGACACTAAACGAAACAGTCCAGTGAAGAAACACAAACTTCTATCTTAATCTACATTACATTGATTTTTTTTTTACTCTTATGCATATGCTTACTAGTTTTTACACTTATCGCCATATAGCTGTCAAATCCTCTAACAGCTAGGCAACATAATGGAAGCAAGAATCCAAGATGTCAGTAAAGTGTCTTTAAGGATAAAGAGTGAATAAGGAGTCTTGCAAACTCTAAAAGAAAATTACAACCTTCCTTCACCAGTGAATACCTTAAGGCAGAGTATCAAAACATTCCTTCCAGGTTTTTTACAATCTGGACTAGTTTAGAAAACTGTCTAAAGGAAAACTGTTAATAGAGCTTACAGCTCTATCTTACAGCTAATAACTCTCTCAGCCTCCCCAATGTCTCTCACATCAGCTACAATTGAGGGTTTGGACAACATAGAACATGTAATACTTAAAGAGCAGTGCCTAATAGGAAGGATATAGTAAGATGATAACATACTGTGTATTATACTGATTTAATATGCTAAGCAAGTAAAAGTTAACATCACTTGAATCCAAGAAAATAAAGCATGAAGGACAACTGCTGATCCTATGAGGACTTGCAACTATATAAACTAGGGCAAAACTAGGACAGAAGTCGTCCCAAATTTTATTTTGGGGAAAGTTTTTTATACTGATTTGAATTTGATTTATTCCTAAGCATTTTCAAAAATTTTAGAAAATGCTATCAAGGTTTTGCTGTTGATGCAGCTTGTATATTTTCAAAATATTGCTATATTTTAAAAAAATGCTTTGAAAATTATCCTAGAGAATGTTTTATGGCAGGGAAAATGACAAACATTATCAAATAAGCATAGCTCAGTGTAACTTAAATTCAGCGTGAGAAAGTTTTTGCAAACAGGATGCTGGATATGTCCTGCAGGGATTTTCTGGCCTAGCTACAGGTACCTAACTGACCTGGCCTATAACAAAGCAGGCCTTATATAAGCACCTTGAAAACAATGCTATGGTTGCCAAGAGTCTATATGAGTTTATCATATAAATATTCAGAGAGATATTCTCCTACTTTAACAATATTCCAGTGGAGAAGGGGATTTAATTCACCAACTTTTCAACAAAGCATATAGCTTTCTGACTGACAAGTTGTTAAAAGTGATGTATATAAAAATGCTCAGTCTAACTATGAAGGCTGCAGGTTCTACATCTCTACAATATCTTACATAGAGGCCAGATGGACATCTCATAAGGTAAAGGTAAAGGTTCCCCTTACACATATGTGCTAGTCGCTTCCTGATCTAGGGGGCGGTGCTCATCTCCATTTCAAGCCAAAGTGCCAGCACTGTTCGAAGACGTCTCCATGGTCATGTGGTCGGCATGACTAAATGCCGAAGGTGCACAGAATGCTGTTAACTTCCTACCAAAGGTGGTCCCTATTTTTCTACTTGCATTTTTACATGCTTTCGAACTGCTGGCCGAAGCTGGGACAAGTAACGGGAGCTCACTCCATTCCACGGCACTAGGGATTCGAACCACCAAACTGCCAACATTTCTGATCAACAAGCTCAGCATCTTATCCACTGAGCCACCATGTCACTGGACAATTCATATATAGGATTAAATTAGTTTTCCTGCATTTTTCAGAGAATTGGACTATGCGGTCCCCTTACACCTCTACAATTTTATGATTCTATGTTTCTACCCATTCACTTACCGGGGATTGTAAATATTGCTGTAGCAGTATCTGAAGTTCTTCATTCTGCTGAGTCAGCCCATCAGTCTCTTCAATCAACTTTGCCCTCAGAGTCAGAAAATGACTGGTGGAAAAGAGAGGAGTCCTTAACAGTATGGACAACAGTGTTTTTGACTGCAAACTTTTGAATGGGCAACTGTGAACCACATGGAACTCCTACATCCCTTCCTCAGCCCACAAATAATTTCCAGAGTTCCTCAGAGTAGATATGACCAAGCATTGCTAGTGAAGCACTGTGGCTAAATGGGTGCCTCAGGTGTTGAGGAAGGTTAAGGCTCCTATATATCATTTTAAGTCTATTTTTTTTCCTCTTTGGGGGAGATGGGAAGGGTGAGAAACTCAAGATTACCTTGAGTCATGTTTTTCCAACCCTCCACACACAATGGATGTTTAGTTTGCACCATTACTCCAATATTATTAGAACATTATCAGTCAAACTCAATAGCTAGAGATGAGGTATGCAAGATGGGGAGAGTTATGTGTCCTCAATAAAAACATACAGCTTTTCCCTGTCATGGAGAGATGAACCCATTAAAACTGGGCAACAGAAGATCTACTTCCTGATAAACTAAACAAGTAAAGTAAAGAGGAGAAAGCCAGTATTTTCTGTCCATCTTTCTATAAATTTGCATTTAAAAAAAACCCAGTGGTGAGACTGGCATTGAACTGGGATTTGATAAAGTTCATTGAAACTGAAGAAATAAGTTTTCTGCTATCTGACCTCAAGACATTACTCTCTCCACAAGTCTCTAGAATAAGTAACACATTAGCACACTTTGGCACAGATTGTTTAGATCAAAAGTGTCCAATCCACTCCTTGTATCTGCAGAGATTGCCCTACTATAGCTAAGGGCATTTTCCATCACTTACTAGTATTTTTGCAAGGCAACAATCAGAGCATCCCACAGCTTCAGTTTTCCATCTGGGATAACATGAGCCAATGCATCCCAATATTCTGAATCTTTAGAGTTGTCTCGCTCTTCATGTGCTTTCTTTATCTGTGGCCATTGGTCCCTAGAGGTGAAGAAAAGAGACACTGGCTGATAATTTGATCTGACATAAGCAGCTTCTTACTGCATTAGCCCTAATTTCATATCACAACCTAAGAGAAGGCTTCAACTTAATTCTTCTATGCTATTCTCACCAACACCAATATTTGCATGACCAGGGGCTGAGTCATTATACTAGAATGGAGAGCTCATAATGAGCTGCTATTTTGATACACTATGCATTTGGTCTCTTATCAGTGTTCAAATCTTGATGAAAACTTCATCAAATATAGCAATGATGGAATCCTTTCCAATCCAGACGGTTAAATTCATGGGACATATAATAGTTTACTCTTGCCCCCAACTTTCCCTGATTTTTATAAAATTCCAGGCAGCTTATGATAGCACAAACACAAAAATATAAAACAAAACACATAGGAAATTACTAAACATTACTAAAGATATTTAAGACAATAAAATCTTCATTAGCTTTCAAAAGAAAGCCAATCAAGAATACAGCTAACATATTCCAATCCTGTTAACTGATTTTCAGCTTTGGGGGGGCTTTTATCTGCCAAATCATGAAAAATGTTGAATCATCTGTATTGTTTCTCTGTATCATGTAATATATGTGGTTATGTTGTGTTTTTTAATGATGTACTGTCCTACGTGTTAAATGTTTGTTCCCCCCCCCCTTTTTTTTGAGTTGTAAGCCTCCCTGAGTCCCCCCAGGGAAAAGGGCGGCATATAAATAAACTTCTCAATCTCAATCAATCTCAATATGCATAACTTTGTACTTATTTATTTAGTCATGTTTATGTATTGTATAAAGCCTCCAGAGGGCGAAAAACGGCCAAAAATCAAGGCTGAAAATCAGGCGGGCTGGAGCTGACAGGGCAACTCCTCGCGTGCCCTTAGAAATGGCTCCACTCGCCACCTATGGCATGCGTGCCATAGGTTCACCATCACAGCCCCATAACTATAGCCTTTCTCTCAGTGGCACTGCTTATTTGACCTTGCACCTATTCCAGGTGGCTCGTGAGCATAATATGCACTACTACCAAGACAACATTTGGTTTTAAACCATTGGGCAAATCCAATACCCCTACCAGGCCCCATTTTTTTCAATCCAGACCTACTTTGACATCTGAAATTCTTGCACAAATGCCTTGAGAGCCTTCAAAATGTCATCAGGATGCATGTAAACTGCAGAAAGGGGCACTGTTGTAACCGTGAAGACTTTGTCCTCCTCTTGTGATTCTACAGAAACCTCCTCCTTCTCCTCCTCTCCTAGACTCACTGCATCTCTAGATATTTCTTTGACAATTGTATCTGCCACTACAGCATCTAAGTCCTAAAGGAAAATGAAGAATTCTGGAAGAACAATAATCATACCGTACGTCCCAATGAAGTACAAAGAATGTTCAACAGTCTTGAGAGAGCGGAGATGTATGTGTAAGGGAGAGTATTAAAGAAAAACAAAGAGAAGTAAGACATGAATGAAAAGCTCAACATTTTGTGAAAAGCAACCATAACCCCACATTTGCTGGTATTGGTTAAAAGTGCAATCCACGACCGCAACTAAAACAATCCTAAGAGAAGAATGATTATTTTTGCCACTTCATGTTTCTCAGCCTCCATAGGGCAGAGGTGGGGGGGACGGGACTTTCAGCTTCAATGACATCACATAGAGAAAGTCCATGGGAGGGGGGAGTAGACAATTAAGCCAGAACTACCACTAGTTTGATGAAGCAAGTTTTGATGGTTGGATTGAAAGTCATTATGTTCATTAGTTGAAGCCCCGTCTTTATTACCTGTGAACCAGCCATCTTCTGAGCCTTGAAATGCATGAAAAACTCTGCCATTTGATACACATCATCTTCACTGTCAATGGACAGGGCCTGTAGGAAAGTATAAAAACCTAAATGGGTGCTAACAGAGTAGCTAATTAGGTGGTATAAGGAGTCCTGTTAGAGCTCAAAGCTAAACTTAAAAACAAAGGCTTGGACCTTATACTCCTAGCAGATTGTATAAATCTCTACTTTGGGGTAAATAGTAATAACTGCTGGAAGAAAATCAATTACTGTTGTGGCCCGCCGTCAGACAATGAGGAGGTTGGGGAGGAACATGGACCAGTCTGCGGGCTGAGGAAAGCTTAGACGAGAGCTCTGCGTCGGAGGCAGAGAGGGAGCTAGACAGCAGTGAGGCAGAGGAACAGCTGGAGCCTGTTCCCAGTGTGCGCATGCACAGAGCTGCCAGAAAACAAGAACAACTAAGAAAGCAGGGTTGACTTGGGAGTAAAGGAGCACCTTGAAGGAGATTGGCCCCTCCCATAGAAAATATAAACCGGAGCGAATGGGGAGTGGGCTTTTGCAGGAAACACTTCGTTCATTCGGTCGTTTTAAGAGTGGAAAGTTCTGTTTGTGACTATAAGAGACTCTGTGCCAAGTTTTGCCTTTGCGTTTGGAAACTAGTTATTTGGCAGCTCTCCAAACAAGATAAGGTTCGTGTGG